CTACAAACACCTACACGTAACACACATTAATTTGTTGACCAAACTACTACTACGAACCAATAACCTCACTGTTTCACTAGGCACACATCATACAAAAAAATGCAAAACATACCTCAAATTTCACTTGACTTGCCAATTTCAACCCTCGTGCACTTGATATTAATTCACCAACATTCCACTTTAAAAATCTAGGAAACATGTGTGACGATTTTGCTTCAACTATGGTTATGTGTTTACATAACCATAACTAGAGAAAAAACAAACAAAACATGTTAAAATTTCCATCCATGTCAAATGGTACGAAACACACGCAAAAACCACATTGCCATGTCACACAAAATACACACACATTTTCCACACACATCACTTACCATCAATGCAACCACATAACTAGTCACTTTCTCCGGCGTCCAGTGAAAGTCCCTCACAGAACACATCAGTGAACTACGTATCGCTCCACACTAGTCGTACATCTTCATTGCATCTAAATTATCAACATACCGGACAAATGTCCAGCTTATTGTCTCTTCAGAATTTGCAAAGAACAACTTCCCACAAACATATAGGCATAACAGTTTTGCCATGTCTTCATGATCTCGTGGTGTGTCTCCAGCTACTGCCTCAGTCAACAAATCCCTCACAATTTTCGTAGTAATTTTACTAGTGCTAGCACACCTCCGTTGCACAAAATCAGACCGTGGCCTTTGTCTTGGCGTCAAATCGAGGAAAGCATCCCCACATTGCAAACTAAACAATGATTTGATGTCCTCATCGGTCAGATCAACACTGGGACCACCTATCACAAACATGCCATGCCGTATACTATACGCCCTTATTGTGCTGACCACCAGCTCGTCACCCTTCCTAAACTTCGTGTGATTAAGCTGGTTTATCAATATCGCTTCAAACAACAGCCAAAATGGGGTTTTCCTCAAGTGAGCGAGCTGAACGTCTTGCAACTTCACCACGTACACTAATTTAATTATGCCCGATATGTTTGACCTAAAATTCAGTTGTGTCTTTGGACGTCTACGCGAAGCCCCCGAACTGGCCCTAGCATCTTTCTGATTGAACAAAACACGCCCTTCCATCTTCATGCATTTTTCAGACGTATCCTTGAACCCCAACGCTCCCTCCCATTTGCGTTCACATGACCGCGTCCACGGACTGCAACCATTAACACGCCCTGCTACAAAAAAATCAAGAACGTCAAACCCGCTTACTCCAACCCATACACATCGTAAATAATAAACAATCAAAGCATACCACACCACATCGATCGGTTTTGGTGTTATACGCAGATTTAAATTATACATTGCAGATGGTTTTCCTCAATTTCCACTGAATAACACAAACACTGGATGATGTTTACACCATAAACAAAATACTTCAACCAACCAAAGTGTATGCCTTTTGTTTTTTAACGACCCACGCTAACAAAACACATTGCAAAACCCTCGACAATAGCATATGACGACATTCACAAACATCCCAACTTCATAGTTGCACCATCCTCGTACCCACACCATCAAATACAAAAAATAAGCATATTCAATCATTTTATTCATGAAAAAAAAAAGAAACTTCCCAAACTATACACCACATCCCTACTCGTACGACATTGGCTTATCAACCCACACACCCCAAACACATAAATTTACGACACCAAACAATACCCCCTATACACACGCATTATTCGGGGTATGCCGCAACTGATGCCACGTTATTACCATGCATAAACATCACACAACAACACATTAAAAAAACAATCGAGACAGCCCCTGTTCATACTTCAACTTTGGGGAAAAAAAAGAAATACCGTACCCACATAACCCTAACAATGCAACGCCTCACAACATACATACAAAACCAACCCACCCAACATTGACCACATAAATCAGACTCTACCTTACAGAATAAACACTTTCCCCAACTACATGGTCCACCGCCATCATCGTGTCCCATAGTAATACAATTTTCCATGTCAATAACGACAACACCAATAACGTACTGAATAACAAATTACCGATTTCACCCTGACGTTAACATCGACTGCTAAACAATCATAAACACTACAAACATTCAAATACAACGTGACAATCAATTTTCAGTACGTATTACTAACACTACTAACAACCAAACTACATAAAAAATTATAAACAACTCAACCAAAAGAAGATCTTACTGAAACTTACTTTTCCCAGACATTTACGCAAGGGTAGACGACGTACACGTTCCCCTCCGAATCAAATAGAACACCGACTTCGACACGCCCACGTTAGGGTTCCTCAAACCACAATAAACACACTACCCACCACAAGAACGAATACAAATTTATGCCCACAACTTATTCCGTCTACAATCCCACAAATCATGATTGTGGGATTTGTTCAAATGGATTTGAAATTCAAAATTTACAGGAACGGCAATCGGGGAAAAAGGAATGTTTTCCAAAACCACAAAATCAATTATTTTCCATTATACGATTATCCCCAATTTGTGGGTCGGACTTAGAGGATCGGGTTGTGTTAAATGGTTCGTTAATCCGTTACCACTTGGTTGTCCTACATCACATGTGTTAACGTCATAGGTCATAACACTTCTTACCCTTAAGCCACATCCCACTACGCGTGTGCCACAAACCCACAACAAATAAAAAAAGTACTAGTACGCTTTTCTATAAAATCGTGACACCCACACACCCAAACACCTTCCCCAACCAAACCCCCATACCAGCTGTCAACCACTACTAGCGGCAAATCAGCCAACATAAATTTAAAAGACCATTCAGTCATAAAGAAAACATTTAGGACCTTACAGATTAAAAGATCACAAAATAGGATTTACTTGTCAATTTCCCTTAAAGTTATGACATATTGAGTTTAAGTTATAAAATTTTGTGAGAAAGTTATAAAAAGTATACCATATACCTCTTTTTAATGGTGCACATTGTAACATCTCCCATGATGGAAATGCTCTTATACCCAATTTTAAACTTTATTTTGTATCAATGCACCTTCTCAATAGTTCAACAACGGCTTATCTTTATCCTCTCATTTTTTCCAAACACTTACCTCATTTTTCTAGTTCCTTCTCACTTATCCAAACCTTTGGGACAAACGTTTCAAAAGGTGGTGAAGTTGACATTTATTATTTTCAAATGGTGATTAAATTGCAATACCTACTAGTTGAAGGGCTTCATACAATAGTAATTCATTGGAAAGGGAAAAAAATTGATGGTTACAAAAAATAAGGGTTAAGGGCATTTCTAATGGTATATTACTTTTTTCATTAAATTTGAGTAAAAATTATCTTTGATATCGTCTACTCCAATTGAAGGATTTGACTTTTCATCAATCCATAGGTCAACCGGGCAGACGACCAAGCGGTTGACCGGCTGGTCAATCGGGCAATGTAAAATTTTCACAATGAGACAAAGAATAACATTAGTGACCAAAATGATAATGGGTCATCCGAGAGGTTATTTTATCTTGAGGTGGTTATCCGAGAAGATATTCGGAAGGCCATCCGAAGGTGAAAATACAACGATAATGAACAGTGATTTGATGAAAGATATAACGCATTCTCAATTTGGTAAAATATTTTGTATATTCTCAATTTGATATAGGTTTGATGAGATCATTTGAGCAACAAAAAATGAACTTTTTTACCAAAATTAAATTTGATAATGGATTTGATATAGCGTTAAAGATGGCCTAAGGGTATTAATAATGGAATGAAAGATGATCGAAGTTGACGAATGAAGGTGGAAAGGAAATGCAAGGGAAAGGTTTGAAAATTGAAGAAAAGATGGAGGTTGATAAATAAATGGAGAAAAGAAATGTAAGGAGAGAGTTAGAATTTCAAAAGCATAGATAGAATAGTAGAGCTTATCGAGAATAATTAATAGTATGTGATTATAATTAGTATCAAACAATTGAGATATGACAGTGTGGTAGGAAAAAGAATAGAGGTTAGGTGTGGAAATGACAGAATTATATATGGTGGTCGAAAAATTAAAGAAAAATTAATATGAGATGAAATTTGAACTTGTAAAAAGAAAACAACTAAAGGATTTACTATTTAAGCGGCCGCAAATTTAAACTTCTTGAAAGCAAAATATCTCAAACTTTGCGGTACTGAAGGCTTGCCTAGTTAATAGTTATCAATAAATTAATAAATTTTCTAAATTATATAAAAAAAAGTTACAATATAATATACAAATTGATTGGGAATAGATTATTTTAATAACTTTTTACAAAAATATATATAGAGAAATAGAAAGAATAATGTGATAATTTATAATAACAATAATGATTCATCTCACTAATTTGAGAGTGACCACTAATGAGGTAGAAATTAAAAAAAAAAAACAGAAGAGCAAAACATCTCATCATGTGGGACTCACACCACTTTAGAGTTATTAATGCTCCTCTTTTTTAGTGGTCTCACTTATTTTTCTTTATAATAATTTTTTGACTTTTGACTAAAACTAAGGGTTAGTTTGGGATGATCTAAATAGGTGTACTTTTTGACTTTTTATAAAATATGAGTTGGGTATGAGTTGAGTTTGAAGTGATATATTAAAAAAATAATGTGACTTAAATAAATGACGCGACTTAAATAAAATAATAATTTTTTGACTTTCTAATTTTTTTAAGTCAGGTCAAACAAGGCGTTGTCAAATGATAATCCAAAATTCAAATCACATTCTCTGTCACATTCGGTCTGAAAGAACATTATTAATGGTGGACAACCAATACGCCAAATCATCAGTCTCACCATATTTAAATACAAAATTGATACCGCTGTCAAATTCCGTAGGTTACCTACAAACAAGTGTACCAACGAGGGGTAAACTGTAAAAACCAATGTCAAACATAAGTCCCGGACAAATTTTCCTAAAACCAGGGAGTCAAATATATTTATGAGACTTATCAGGGGGCATATTGCAATTTAATCCAAAGTAGCAAAAAGAAAATCGATCTAAGCACTTGACCTGTAGCCATTGCCATATTGTCAAGCTCTTTCTCTCTTCTCTCTCTCTCTCTCTCTCTCGTTGGATAGCTTCATTGATACGAAGAAAAAGAGAGAGTGATGATACTTTTGCAGTCTCACTCCAGATATCTTCTTCAGATCTTGTCAAATCGAGTTCAAAAGTAAGTTAAAATTTTTCCCAAATCTTTCTTACAGATCGTAGTATTAACTTCATTTTCGTGTGATACAAATCGGGACATCGGCGATTGTTTTTCACCTTAAGAAATTTATATCGTTTTCATTGGTTTGTATTCAATTGAATGTAATCATTGACAAATTAATGGCTTGTAAAATTTTTATTTTGTAATGAATTTGGGTAAAAAAAATTCATTTTTTAGAGCTTTGTTTCTCATAATAAGTAGGAAATTGGGTCTGCACAATATTGTCAATCATCTAATTAGCATGTCTCATGCGATACTATGAGTTTTCAAAAACAGTTTTTGAATTTTCAATCTGTAATTTTTTTTTTTTTTTGTGATTTTTTTTAAAAAATATTTTGATCAAAAAATAATTTTTAGATGCATCTAAATGTATTTAATAGTAAAATGTTTGTGGAGAAATTTTGAAAAAATTCAATAAATACCAAAAAATACGAAAATGTACTGAATTTCTGTTTTTATTTTTTTTATTTTTATTTTTATTTTTAAATTTTTAATTTTTTTAGTGAGTTTTTAAAGATTTTTTCTTAAATTTTATAAGTGCATTTAGATTTAATCTAAAGAGTGAAAAACATTGATTAAAATATTTAAAAAGTTGACTAAAAAAATACATATTTAAAATTCAAAAACTGTTTGAAAACTCAAAACCAAATAGAGTATGCGATTCTATATAGAAAAATGGCACACAAAAGACCAAGATTCTCTGGCTGTCATAAGAGATCAAATTTAGTGAGTACAGGTTGATGATTAGGAATTTACATTCACTTTTCCTTGCAATTCGCAGGGTTGAATCTCGAAGCTTGTCATAATTTGCTTGGTCTTTATTAATCAATTTCTGCTTTTGACCTTTTTTCCGGAAGTTAGCAAAGGATGAGTGTCACATATCTTTTCCATAATATTAGTTGCTTTCATTGAGGACCCTACCGTGGTGTTGTTCAATGTAATCATTTTGTAGACAATGGATGGCTTTCTGAATTCAGATTTCCCATCCCTAGTGATGAATGATTCGAAGTGATCCATTGTGAGAGTGGCTTTCAAATATAGCAATGGATCATGATGAATTATTGCGTGCAGATGTAGTTCTCTTTCGTTTCTATTTCTGGAGTTGTCTTCAATTGTTTGTTTGAAGGCTAAGTTAATGCATGAGCCTATTGTTTAGAGATGTCAAAGTTAGCTTTCCATGTGGAGATTGTGTTGGGTACACCATGTCACCCAACAACTGGACCTATTAGACCAGCCGGCCACCGATGCCAACGGTACACCGTCACCCCATGGGCAGAGAGTCTTACTTCGGTGACACAGTCACAAGCAAGAGTTCCCACGTGTGATACGCCTGCACTCATGTGACAAGTCAACTAACTCTGATACCAAGTTGTAATGCCCCAAAATAAATATGACAAACCCATCTCATTTGCAGAAATAGAATTGAAATAACATACTTTCATTCATCAGAGTTAATGTACAGAAGGTAACACATGCAATATGTATTCATAAATGTTCTATCCTGAATTTACAGCATATGTTACTAATAATCAAAGGATAAAAGCTGAATAGATATTTAAATGCCCTAACGGCTTACATCTTTCCAAGACATTCCTTAGTCACAACAAAATAAGTCTAGCTCAATACAGTTAAAGCCCTTGGCTATACAAATTAAAAACAACAAAAGCGAGCCCTTGCTCTAAGTCTCTCCAAGCTATTGTCTTGGCAGAGGCATGTCACCAGCACCTGAAAATAGTTTTTCCCAAGTAGGGTGAGCCAAAACCTAGTAGAAATAATCTAACACAATATATGAGTCTTAACAAAGATATAAGTATGAGATGCATGTCCAATGCCCATGATAAAACCATTTATGACTCTTCTACAAAACCATGTCATGCCAAGCTTTATATCACAACTCATATTATCTCCATTCGTTTTGTCTTAATTCATTTTACCTTAATTCATGAATCAATTCCATTTATTCCTGACAACCAAACTGAGGACATAGTTCAGTGGGTCTCAAACCAACATAACTATCATACAAATACTTCAATTTGCCATTTTACGAAAATTTTGTCCGCGGGAATCAACACTTATGTATTGCGGTTTTTTAGACTTTCACCCTGAACACACAAGCCAACTTAATTTAATGGAGTCCATCCCCTTTCTTCTTCCAAACATGGAGTACATCCCCTTTCTCCTCCCAAACATCATACATATACAATGTATTTAAAACACAATCATATTCAATGATAACCAATAAGAGATTAGTTTAAATTTACCTAATGCTCATGTAATTTCTACAACAATCAAAGCTATCCTCCGCTGATAGCCCAAAGCAGATATTTCTAAACAGGTGTAAAATCTTATAGACAGATAAATTATTCAAATTTCCATAGGTGAGAGGTAATACATACCCAACACCACCATTTATATAAACGTCCATCTAATTTCATATGTCCGTTGCCAATTATTTATACAAAATAATTAATTGAGATAATTTTAGGGCAAACTTTCCTTTTTTCCAACATCCGCTCGAAGTACCAAAATCAATCATCTGAATATAGCACAAGCTCATATTCACTCTCATAACCATTTCCAATACAACCATTCAAAACTCTTCTTTTGATTTTAAATCAAAATCCTAGGTTTGTTCAAATCACCCCAAATCCCAATATTTCTCACACATCAACAAATAACTAAATTAAAACCCATAAAAGAGCGTAGAAAGTCCTTACCTCGAAGTTAAAAGTCAAGCAAGTAAGGAGGGAACTTCAAAGATGCTCAAACACTCTATTCGGATAGAAATGTAGCCCTTGAGATACTCTACCTTTTTAACAAAGGAAGTAGGGTAGAAAAATCACTAAATCTAGGTGAAAATGTAGAGAGAGTGAGAGACTCTTAGATCTATGGTTTTGAGAGGAATGGATGTGAAAAAGTGATGTAAAATGGTGCTGCAGCGAACTGATATATGCACAGTCCGCTAGAGCGCAAGAAGTAACACTCGAGCGTCAGACACAATAAGTTGTTCCGTTCGAGAGCAAGAAATGATGCTTGAGCGCAAAATGCACTCCTAGTAGTTTTGCAAACAACAGACCAACGCTTGAGGGCAATAAGGGCCGCTTGAGCGCCCACCCACTCTAGCGTAGGAAACGCTGCTCGATCATAGAAAGCACTTCCTCAGTAGTTTTGCAAACCTGCAAAAGTATTGAGAGTTCGCAAAACCCGGTCGAGCGGAGCACAAGAAGTGCCGCTGGAGCAAAGGACCAAAAATCTGGGCCAACACACGGTTTGAAAATCAAGCGACCAACCTGTCCCAAGCACAACCACAACCACAACCACAACCACAACCACAACCACAACAACCCAAAAGCCAAATTCAAGCAAGAATAAGGGGGAAACGACAACGAACAACATTTGGAAACCATAAAACCCGAGTTTGGAATATCAAATGGGTCGGGTAAAAAACGGGGTCATTAATAGAGACAAAGCCATTTCTTACCAGGATAGTAACTAATTAGCTCTATAGTGTCTTCACTATTTGAGTTTTTGTGGCTTAATTATTTTTACAGGTGGGGAAATGTTAGGTTTGTGTATTGTTCGGTGAAGGTGGAGGGAACATGTATTTTGGAAAGTTTGGCGAGAAACATAAATAAAAAAACTGGAGAGAAAAAATTGTGATGAGATAATTCTAGTTAGGGTAGAAACATAATGAAAAGCAATGTAAATGTGTATAGCAAAGCCTAGATCACTGGATGGGAAAGAAACTTATACTGAATTAATATAAACCTCAAAAATGGGATTAGTTTGTCAGACCTAAAGGCAATGTTCCATGAACGTGATTACAGCCTATATGATCCATGAAGGGCATAATTAATGAGCTTAATGCTGGAATTTATCTTTGAATATACGGTAAATTATTCCATTTTTTCTTTTGATTAAATCTGGACTGGTATATATTTCTTTGTATTTTTCATCTTTTAATCCTATCACTCATGTATTGCCTAAGATTTTGTTTCTTAGTTTGTCAAATATAGTTTTTCTAACGGTTCTACCATCTGGTCTTTCACAAGGTTGACCTGCTCCATTTGTGTGCCTAGAGTTCTTGAATATTATTAGTGTCAACATATATATATTTGGATTGTGCTAGGACTCGTTCCTTCCTTGACTGCTTTTCAACTACTGAGAATGTTTCAACTTTCATCAACTAGTCAAATAGCTTTTGTTACCTAATGACTGGTCACCTGTCTCAGCATGCTGATATTTTCCTTGTTCATTCTGCAGTCTTGAGAAAGGAGTTGAACTGGATTGCCACTGGGTTGAATTTGATGACGTTCGTTACCATATTCAGGTGAATTATAAGCTTTTCTGTTCAGTGCATCTATGAAACAAAGAGAAACAATTTAGATAAACGGCTAGACGAATGTCTAGCCTGGATTAATGCAGTTTGTTATTTTGGTATTTTTTGATTGCATGCCTGGACATAGTAGAACTCCAATTGATTCTGCATATCTGACATACAAAATCTCTTGCAGGCATCGATGAAAAATCCACATATCCTGTTGCTATCTGTGTCATTACCCACGCCACCTCTAGAAACTGTTTTCGTTGGGGGGCTTCCTACTGGAGCTATAGAAGCAATGAAAGCTGCATACGGTCTGGTTGTACAAATTCTTGATCCTCCAAGAGATGGCTTTAATCTCACCGTGAAACTGAATTTGTCTAAACTTCCTCCAGATGAAGGTTCAACGAGTTTCTTTTCTAAGGTCACTATAAGCTTGCCAGTGGCTATGCTGAAACATATAGGATCAGTTTGTACAGCATTTTCGTCTACATCTTTACTCTTTAAGATTGTGCTTGATTTATTTTTTGCCCCAATGGTTTTATTTTTTATTTTTTATTTTTTTATAAATTTGTTTCCTTTAATTCTGATTTTATAAAATTTCCAGTTGTCAAATATTTTGGTTGTTCACTGCTGTCTTGCTATATTTTGTTTTGCATGATTGTCTTAAAAGTCCTTGTTTTAGAACTTCTCTCTTATTAGTTTAATGCATGGTAAAAAATTATAGTTTCATCTAATGAAAATAGAAAACCGTCTGGACACACTGAAAATATGCAGATATTTGAGATCTTGAAGAACACTGAACTTGTGCAAATGGATACCTAAAAAATGACTCTGGATAAATATATAGGCTAATAAACTCAACTACATGTTAAGATGACATTAACTATAGAAATTTGTAGGAGAATTTTGCTTTTTGTACTATTTGTGTAAAAATGGGATAATAGATGCATGGCAGTATGAATGCTGATATGAACATATATTAGATGAAGTACTAACTCTCATATAAACCATTTTTTATTCACATGGCTATAAATGCAATGCCAGTTTAAGTTTACAGGGCAAAGCCTATAACTAAAGGGTATTATGTAGTGTTGGTGCCCCGTTAATACACAAATCCTGTAACTTAAATTGTGATTCTCGAAAAGCTCCAAGGCTACAGCTGTGGAGAGTTGCAAAAAGCACAGCTGTTGAAGTTTTAAGTTTCATCCTACTATGCTTGAACAATTGCACCATTTTCCTTGCTTTCCCCCCTTCCCACAAATAAAAGTCAGTTGATTGAATGTATGAGTTTAATCTTATCTCCATTGCACCATCATTGCACATTCTCCCAGTAATGTCATTACTTTATTGACTGAACCTTTAATGGAATTACCCATGATCTGAGTATTCTCATGCTTGATTTTTCTGTTCTCTTTCATGTCAATATTTCACAATGATTTGTGAACTATTACCCTGCTATGTTCTTTACTTTTTTTTGGAATTTATTTATTCTACAGTTGTAACAGTACTAGGACATTTTTTTTTCTCTCTGAGTTCCCTACCATGTTGTCTGAGCTTGGGTTGTGTTTCTTACCCATGTTGATGGTGCCGTCATTGACTGTTATAGTTATTGGTCTTGTGCAGAGTACAGAAATACTCTTTTGGTAAAGATTGCATCTGTGAGGGAAGTAGTAATGGGTGCCCCATTAAGAGTAGTTCTAAAGCGTCTAACTTCAAGGGCTGTTGCTCAAGATACAGATCAGCTTGTTGCCCTTGTGCATCGGCCTATGGAATCTTTTTTCCTTGCTCCCCTGGTATTCCCTTCACAATTAAGTCTGTCTGAATAAAAGGAATTTTTTTTCTTGATATATTTATCAACTTGATGCATTTATTTGATGTCAACTAACATATTGCGATTGCTTGTGGCAGGCAGAAAAGGTTACTGTGGTTTTTCCTATGAGATTCAAGGATTCCACAGATACTGTTCTTGCAACGTCATTCCTACAGGTACTGCTAGTATCTTGTCAAAAGTTATTGACCTAATACAATTGCTCATTATCTGAGCATATAGTTTTACAGTTGCTAATTCATAGGAATGGTGGTTTTGTTGATTTTTGTGTGGGTTTTAGGAACATGTTATGAATATGCCACAGGTATGCTGTTTACATGCTTTTGGATACATGTGTCATTTGTCAGGTCACAGTTTTGGGTGTAGTTCAAAGTTGTGGCTGCTCGACTGAGTTATCACAGTCGTGGTAGTGAATGATCTGATATCGCAATGCAATACTAGTTATCATATCATGTGCTGCGGGTTTGTATTAGCTTGTGTTGGCTCATTGGGTTGATATTTTGTACTTTGTGGTGTGTCGCGGAAAGATGTTGCAGTATTGGCAATATGGCTCTGATGGAAAAACAGGATAATGATGATTGCATATTTGGCTTATTTCATGTGCTAGGTATAGTGTGTATTTAATTACCATTTGAGCATGTGGTAAACTCGGTAAAGCCTATGTTGATACTTGAGAAATATAGACTATGTTAGATGGTGTGTTTTGATTATCTTATGTTTGCTTTTTGTTAAAACCTATCACCTACTTCACCCACTAAACCTAACCCACTACACCACTACCACCTCACCTACTCCACTAAACCTAACCCACTACACCACTACCACCTCACCTACTCCACTAAACCCACTACACCACTACCACCTCCACTTCACCTACTCCACCTACCACCTCCACTTTACCTACTCCATCTACCACCTACTACCACCTACTCTTCTATATATAGGAATCATTGTAGCATTCAATAATTCAACAATTACAAACATCAATCAATAATACAATTCTCTTTTTCTCTTTATACATTAAATTTCTACACTTTTGTTAAGAAAATTTTCATGATTTAGTCTTCTATAAAACCTATCTTTGCATATTGCCTGATACCTCGATGCAATCTGGTCCCTGCATTATTGACAGATACTGTGACTTTGAACCATGGTTGCTACTGTGTGTTTAGGTGTTTGGTTTGTCTGCTCTCTAAACTTAAGACACACTGATATTATGAATAATAATTATCACTTTTTCAACATATGTACTATAGAATGAGAGAAATATTGACATGGATACAGTACTCGACTTCTCATGTTAGATGAATATTTTAAGGGGTCTTAAGGAGGTTTTATTGAACCACTCATGTATTTCTCTATTACTGTGCTGGAGAATACATTTTGGCTTATTTTTAGTAATAGTTCATGCACATCCTATGCCAAACTTTGTAATGAAATGTCGGATCTGTACATGCATTATAAGTTATTTATGCAGCATAGTTTCTTAAAACTTTTGGGCATTGCTTTGTGGTAGGGCTCTTTACTTTCATACTTGGGATATTCGATTTTCTTCCATTTCAGTCCTTTAAAATTTGGCTATCATTCAGGAATTTGTGGAAGCAAGGCGCACAGCTGGACTTAGCAATGCCCCTCCTTGTTCATGGTCTCCTTCTCCACCCTTAGAACTTAAGGATGCTCCTGCTGAGGCCTTATCTACAAATGCTGGATTTGTCTCCTTTGGTATTGTCAAAAAACTAGGTAGCATATTATAATCCATTTCCCTTTTCTGTAACAACTTACTATGTTTTTGACAAATGCAGTCATTTTCCCACGTCATGTGGAAGGGAAAAAACTCGACAAAACTGTTTGGAATCTATCAACATTTCATGCATATGTTAATTATCATGTGAAGGTGAGACTTCTCTGTACCTTTATGGGATTGTTCCTCTGATCTCTGTCTGTCTTTGTTTTTGGGCTTATAAGTTTAATAAATGTATTCAAGTGTGATGAGAAAGATGCTTATGGAAGTAGGCTTTGGTAATGAACAAGCAAATGCCAATTTTGTTAATTAAATTTATGTATTATTGCCTCAAATTTCACAATATAAAATTTTAGACTGAACAAGTGATTTAATTTAGTTGAATCCTTGAAGGTAGGGGTGTTCACGGGTCTGTTCAGCTCGGGTTTACCCTTAGCCCGTCAGCCGAACCGACATGTTCGGGTTGGAAAATCAGCTATCCGTTGTCGACCGAACTGCCATTCGAAATCGACCGAATGAAAAGTCATAGCTTGGCAGTCGGTTCGGTCGATTTCAAAAAAGTAGCAAGACAGGAATGGAAAAAAAAATAATGAAAAAATAGAATTGAGAATTCAAAACAGCAAATTAAGCTCACAAATACAGATCAGTGAGAGAGTGACATAATACAGATGAGTAGCGAATTGCAGATTACACCTGATGTACATACACTTAGAAATTACAGATTATCGCCGCAGCCACTGTCTTCGCTCATCGCAACACCATCGCTCATCATCACCAACACTGTTCTTCACTGACCTTGTCTACTAAAAGGTGTGAGGAAAAAAAAAAGGTTTCTAGGCAAGAAAGGGAGGAGGAGGGTTTCAAGAGATAAGGAAGAAGCAAAAACAGATCTTAAAAAAAAAATAAAAAAAAATCACCATCATCAGTGCTGCAATCTCAGCGTAGTCGATCTCAAGACAAGCCATCACCTCTTCCATGATCTCTCGCTGTTGCTACAGTCGCAGAGAGGGGAGGTGCAAATCGTGACGGAGAGAGGGAACTGGTTAAAGGGGGTGGGTGAGAGAGAGAGAGAGAGAGAGAGACGAAAGGGTTGAGAGATAAGGAACACAGAAATGAGTGAGATATATGAGAAAGTGGGATGAAAGAGAATAAGACAAAAGATGGAAAAGTTTTTGTATTGGGAAGGTAAAATTTAAAGAGAGAGATTTCAAATTGTTGGAAAGGGAAGCCTTGGAAAGATGAAGGTCAGTTGATGTGACTATATCAACTACACTTAAAGGTATGTATATACATGGAAAAGTCAAATATGTCTTGGAGAAATGAATTTATTTTACCGAAGCAGAGAATAGGGATGGCAATTTAAACCCGGCCTGATGGGGACTCGATCCCCCAACCCCGATTGGAACGGTTTTTTCCCGAAAATTATCCTCATAGGGCCGGGGATGGTATTGAAAATTAAATCCCCGATGATTTTCGGGCTGGGGACGGGGATAGATTCCCCCAACCCCGGCCCCGGCCCCGCCCCGTTTGATCCCCGACTGATCCCCGTATGTTATTATAATATATATATATTATATTATATGTTTAGGGACCATATATATATAATTTAAATAAAATATAGTTATAATACAAATAGCGATAAATGTGGCTCTGATACCAATAGAGATGCTTGACACAAGACTTGTACCCATTTTTACAAAATTATAAGTATGAATCCATTTCCCCATCTCATTCAATATTGATATTCATACCTTAATCCCTTTCTATTCATTCATTCTAAGTCAATTCATGAGTCTAGTTCATTGTTATCTAAACAACCCAAATGAGGCTATAACTCATTCGTTCACAATTCAATGACATCCATTATTCAAACACTTCAACTTGCCATTTTACGGAATTTTCATCCGAGAGAATCGGTACCCATATATAAACAAGATTTTGGGACTTTCACCATGGACACTCCGGCCAACTTAATTTTAAATGGAGTCCATCCCCTATCTCCTCTAATGGTGATGAACAGATCTCTCTCCCCCTACGTTGTTTTTGTTGATGATGAACAAATCTGTTATATCTATTTTTTTTTTTTGGGCTGGGGAATTTTCGGGGTCGGGGAAACCCGATCCCCGTTAGGGGGCGGGGGTGGGGGCGGATATAGGTTCCCCGTCGGCCATCGGGGCCGGGGACGGGGGGATTTCCACCATCGGGGATCGGGGACGGGGAGGGTGATCCCCGGCCCTGCCCCGCCCCGTTGCCATTCCTAGCAGAGAACCAACGGATTATATATATATATATATAATTAAGTCGGTCGGTTCGGTTTATTCAAATATTTTTTTATTTAATCCAATGCCCGACCGAAAAATTGAAAATTTTGAAAGAAAAGAACCGCAGCCGTCCGAATATATGGTCGAAACCGCCTGCAATATAATCGGGTCGGACGGTTTGGTTCGGATTTTTCGGGTGAATGGGATTGATGAACACCTCTACTTGAAGGTATCATCAACTCAACAAGAGACCTTTATTTCTCAACTGCCAGGGTCCTCTACTCATAAACCGAGCTAAATTTATTGAGCTTGAAATACCTCGGGTCTGCAATCCATGCCCGCGCAATGCTAAGCACTACTTGGGCTGTGCCTGGACAGGTCTTGAATCGGCCCAGCTTGCCCAATTTGCACTTCTACCTAAACCTGGCATCTGAGGTCTGGCTAGGCTAGACCATTATAATGCCACTTTTTAGAAAAGTAGACTTTTTATTTTTTATTTATTTATTTATTTTTTTTATAGTGGTCATGACATTGAGCAATGGCAAGTGCTATCCATTCCCAGCACTGTAGTGTGGGTTTGCGTCATGGGAATCAACTTACCTACAAAATAGTGGGGAAAAGGATGTCTGCCTACTACCTTTTCCTGACCTTGTTGTAATCGGAAGCCTTATGCACTGGCAGTACTTTCTTTTTATTTGATATGCTTCACTTGTTTATCTTAGTTACTAATAGTGGCTTGTTTAGTGTCCATGAAGATGCTTTATTTTCACATATAAGGCTCTGCCATAGCATCTCCTTTATATTTGTCTCTTCTCTCTCTCTCTCTCTCATGATAATTGTTATGTGTTGGATGAAGAAGATATTTTCTATGTTGTTTCTGATCCAGCCACTCCTTTTATCGTGGTAGCTGGCATGCTGACAAGCAAGTTCCCACAATTTGTTTTATAGTTAATGTGCTTTATGCTTTTAAATGATTAAGTATACTCTATATAATTCATTTGTTTAATCCAAACCTCCGGTGCACATGTCCAAATAGTGTTCAGAAGGATTCATGCACACTCGGATGAGGCGTCGTGTGGAGTCATTAATTCAGGTAACTCCTCATTGTTGTCTATGCATTCTATGTTTTCTGTAGCTTCTCAACTGTTATGTCCAAATGACCATGCTGTTCTAAATTATGCAGTAATGCAACATCTTCTATGCTTGACTATATGAGGAACTACTCAATAGCTAATTCATCAAAGTTTTGTATTATTATCAGAAGTTTCCCGAAACGTACTTGCTATTGATGCATTGCAACTCTTGAGAAACACATGGCCAAAGAGCCACATAACATGAAACCACCTTGTTGAGGCTATATTTTTAAAAGAAAAGTACGCCCAGTTTAGTATCTTATAGTTAGGTCACAATTTGGACTCAAATATAATCTATGCTAGTGAGAGGAGGTTTTCTTGTGCAATTTTCATTTTTTTGGCAAACCTTTGTAAAGTGGTTCTTTTCTTTCTGTCAAGTTTAAGTGGATGAGATGCATTGTGGCTTCCATGTGGTGTATGTCATCATCTGTTAGCTGTTCCATTTAACAATGCTCGATATATTTTAATTTTTTTTCCCTTAGATTCTCGGTTTTATTTTTTATGAATTGTGTTCTTGGTCCGAAAGATGCTTTTGTATTGTGTTTCAGGCTCTGGATCGTGCCAAACCAGATACGGAGAAATCAAAGAAAACAGGACAAAACAGATCTTTCAAGCGACTGGTTTGTCCCTTGGATATTAATCCTAATGCTTTTCTCCTAATTGTTACAGTGATTTCAGGACTCACCTTGCTTTTATGTCCACTTCATATGCAGAGCCTCCAAGAATCAAGGAGCAGATTGAAGTCGTAAAGATGATATAATTGTATTTAAGTGGATCAATAGGGATCTGCTGGATTTGCAAAAGATCTGTTTGAGGCCTGAGATGAGGCTACAAATGCTGCGAAATGAGAAATACTGCTGGATTTGCAAAAAATCAACTGTGGAATTGGCTCTGTTTATGCAAAGGAAGATCACTGGATGCAGTTGTGCCAAGTGATGTTAAATGTACTTTGTTTAGATTCTGTGTATAATGTGATTTTGTTGAGCAATTTTGGGCTCCACAAACCTTCCTATGATGTTAGTCTTTATTTGTTTCCTTAAATCTTATTTAGGTCATTGACAAGCAGATGGAATTGCCGTTATATATTGAAATGGATACCAAGTTGAGTTATCCATGAATTTGTGTTCATCCATCTTATGATAATACATTCTTAATCATTGAATTTTGCAATATTTGGGCACATAATCTAACCAATAGTTAGAAGTGCAATAAGACCAATGGACAGAAACAAACAAACAATCTCACGCAAAATATCTTGAAAATGAAATATAGAGACAAGTTATTTTGAATGTGAGTCTACTATATCAAATTTTAGTATATACTAAATTCATTCTGTGACTCCTAATAAATTTTAGTCTATACTAAATTTCAGTTATCTCTGAGAAATTTTATTGTATCATGTCAATTAGCCAAACATTTAGTATTATATATACATATATGATATTATGAGAGTGCACTCATACTTGGGTGTAAGTTGGGAAAAATTACAAGAAGCTCAACAAATTTTAATTCACATAACACTTTAAAGCCTTTTCAGTAATTCATTATTCATTAGTTTTAATCCATTTAACCTTGTTAAAAGGGAGGGTTTTTTTATTTTTTTTTCCAAATATCAAGGAGGTCAATGTAATTTACCCTAAAATGTTAACATACAATTATTTCTCCTCTCTCCAAACAGTAATGCCAGAGACATAAATATCTCAGAAAAACTGCACAGAAGACAGTGCACTACTCTTCATTCATCTGTGTTTCTACTAAAGAAAACCACCCAGAAGTGGGTGAACTGTAAATTTTGGCAACCAATTAACCCTTCAATGGCAACATCAACCTCTCAAGGACTGAAAGAACAAGCCCAAATCTATTTCATACATATATATATAGTCTGATGGGGTAACAATGGCTGCCTCTATCTCCTAACCAAATCCTTGTTTTCCTTTTTTCTGGTTCAGGCCCTCCAGATCTGGTATAAAAGAACAAAAAGACATTTCAGATTAATGTTTAATAAAGAAAATAAAATCAAAAGAAAACCTTCTAGTACACAAGTAATACTCCACTAAATATACAAGTAGAATAATATGGCAATAAAAAATATAATGAAGTAATATTTAAATGCAGCACATAAAGACTGAAAAGTCTACAAGGACAACATTAAAAACAGAAAAACATACCCCATAAAAGTTGTCTCCAAGTCAATCTACCTGAAGAGCCTTCGTACTGATCTTCTTGGTACCTTGCCTTCAAGCTTTAGTCTTCTGTAGGCTTCTCTAATGTGGCAGGGCCTGATTGGCCCACTCTCTTTTCTCTCACTCATCACAACCCTGGCTGCAAACATGATGCAGAGAAGGGTAACCGACAATGTAAAAGTAAACATTAATGTAAAATTTGAGCTGGTCAAAAAAAAAAAAATGTAAAATTTGAAACGCCCAACAATGTATGCATACCTGTTTCAACAAGCTCACCAACAAACATTTTTGCTATCCCTGACACCGCAATTGTTATTTGTACATTAAATTTTGCACTTCCAGTAATGCTTGCTATCAACTGCATATTCATTGCAAGTAGAAGCAACACAAGCAACAGTTAGTGCATGAGTAAAATACCAAGCTAGAATTTATAATTGCAAAAACGATGCAATTCATAGAGGCTCTGCATATATGATATTCATAGCTAGCAGTTGGCTGAATTTTAGCCCAAAAATCCTGCTATTAAACTTTTCATTCTATTTGGGCATCCACATAGCATGTATTTGAACCGCACAAAAGGCAGAAAACAGATTCATTGCTACAAAAATTTGAACCAGAATTACTACAAAGAAGAAGAGCCACATAAAGCCATAGGAGAGAAACATACTCTTTTCATATTTGCCTTCTGAAATCCTGATCTTCGGAATGATTCATATCTACTCATCTGTTCCTCTGTGAATTGTGATAAAATAGTCCTGAAAGAGCACAGAGCGATGTAAAGGTTCCAAAGGACGAGGTAAATCATGACTGTTCATCATTCAACGAAATGGAAAAGAAATATTGAAGGTTGTTTCATGTAGAAAATCCTAATAATGTAGGACATGGACATGTCAAGGACACTGTAATATATCTTTATGCATATATATACATATGAGTTGAGCTTGTTGACTTGCTCTTGCTTCATTGCTAAATACTTCTACTTACAATTGCAAAGTATGAAAAAACAAGTTTCACAAATGTGATCTATGTAATACACACTAGTACTAATAGTTGTCTTACTGTGTTCTTTTTTAATATTTAGCACTACATTCTTTTCCCACAATAGAAAAGTTGATTGCAAAATTAGTACTATTCATATATATGATGTCTTTTCCTTTTAGAAATGTTTTAATAAATTCACAAAAATGTCAAACATTAATCTTGTTAAGTGATTAACTACATGCATTATACTGGAACTGATAAGGTGCCCAAATTTAAGCATTATACTGGAACTGGTTAGTGATGATGCATGATTTAAGCCAAAATGCCAGGTAAGAAAACATTCAACCTTTGCTATGAACAACTTTAGCTTGAAGTTCCTTAGTATCATCTATGAATTCTTCTTAGAGTTTCCACTAATTCTGCAAATAATGAAAATCAAAATGAACCATTTTGACTTTGATAATCATAGAGGAAGCATTCTTAGTGAATCAAAAAGTTCATAGTTACAGTGCCATAGTCTTTCTTCATGATGGGTAATCATAAAAATTCAATCTTTCTTAGCATAACAGAAAAATGAGGGAAAAATTAACCAAGAAAGAGGAACATACTGCATCTTGGCCATTTTATCAGGGTCGGTGATAGAAGGGGCTTTCCTAAGCTCAACCTCCATGTTCTCCTCCTCTTCTTCCTCGTCTTCTTCTTTTTTCTTGCGGTTCACTGACGCAACAGCTCTTGATTTCAATGGCTTATTGGCTTTTTCAACCAAGTCTTCATCATCATAATCATCATCTTCATCTTCATGAGCATTAACATTAACACCGAGCTGCGAAGCGGTAGATTCAGAATGAGCTTGATTTTGAGTTTCGATTCTATCAACAACGGGTGAATCAGGAGGCGATTCATCGACTTGTTCCTCAAATGCAACTTCGAAAGGATCCTTCGACTGCTTCATATTCTCTCCCTCTAGGGTTTCCCAATTCTCAAAGAATTTGTACAATGGTGGTCGCCGGTGGCTGGCAATCGTCGGAATTGCAGAGAGAGACTGTGAACAGAGCCCTAATTGTGTCATGTTTTTATAGCCTGTTTGTTGGGCTGACCTGTGTTGGGCTTTGATTGCAAACTGTGGCCCAGGATATATTTTAAAATGGACAAATTACATATACCTCCTTTGAGATTTGACTAAATTACAGATATTCTTCTGAGATTTTAGAAATTACATCCCGCCCCCTGAAATTTGTATTTTCATAACAATTTGTCCCCTGAGATTTATATTTCATAACAAATTACCCCCTAATTTGTTATGCAAATATAGCATTCAGGGAGGAATTTGTAATTTCTCAAATCTCAGGGGGTATTTGTAATTTAGCCAAACCTCAAGGGGTATATGTAATTTGCCCTTTTAAAATGGACTATTTTTTGGGGTAGGTTAAGTGCGCTTTAAATAAAGTAACAAATATGAATAGTCGCGAGGCAGGTTTGGGATATATTTATAATAATTTGCTCCTATCTCGTATCATGTTGGAGGTGGGGCGTCACCACTTGCATAGCTAATGATGAATGTGAATATGCTTGTTAAGTGCTCGAAATCCTTAGCAGCATGCCACAATTTTGAGCCTTCAAACCCCACACACCTCTTGCCTTGTTTTAGACCAAAACCCTAACTTTTCAAACCTGAAAAACCTTGAGGCCTGCCAGCCACCACTATTGGCTGCTGACCACTGTTCTTGGCTACCGGCCACTTGTGTAGCCTGCTGGCCAGAATTAGTCGTCTGCCGGCCACAAGTGTGTTTTGCAGATAATTTCTGCCAGCTGTGCTAGCTGTTATCACAGATACATGCACTTGCTTACACGTGTATGTATTGATATTTCTGAGGGAGTTTGCTATTTGTCTATATATAGAGGACCTCCTCTCTTGCTTTCAAGGTTAGAAATTTTGGAGCAAAATTATTTTTTCCCTCTATACAATTCTCTCTCTCTCTCTCTCTCTCTCTTGCTAGTTATTAAACCTTTGCCTGTACACTCTAAACCAAACCTTACCATCTTTGAGCTAAAGTACTTTTGAGCCTACTTTGAGCTGTTGAGGGTGTTTTTGTGTTGAATTGTTGCTTAAAAGTGTTCTCCTTTTCAAAAGGTATAAGCCTTTGCTTATTGTTTTGCTTTAATTGCTTTGTTTCCTACTGTTTTTGGGCTATATAAACTATGTAATTTTGGACTGAAACTTGTGGTTTAAGGCCTTGAAAGGGTGGAGGGTGGTTCACCTTTTTTTCCACCTTGTTTCTTTAGCCTTTACCCTTGCGTTTCCCACCTTTACACTATCTTTTTTTGAACTTTTTCACACTGATTTTCAAAGCTTTTTCAGTGGCTAAAATGTTGTTTTGAAGTCCAAAAATGGAGGGGGGTAGCCTCCCCTCCTTATGTCTTGCTTACTAACTTACATAGCTCTATGTTTTAACTTATTATTCTAGCTATTTTTGTCTTAATTCCAGCATGTTTTAGGACTTATTTAGCACTGTTTTATGACTGTTTTTAAGTGTTTATTGCATTTGAGCCTTGTATTGCATGCTTATAATGTAATTGTCCTCATAGATTTGGTAGTTTAGGCCTTAGCCACCATCCTATTTGAGTTGATAGCATTTGTTTATGACTTTCCATACTTGTTTTCATCTCTAATCAGTTCTACAACCTCCCTCCTTTCTTGGCTTATGCTTTGAAAGTTGGTTTAAACTAGTTGCTTGTTTAAAGTATGAGATTGAGGTCTTATGTTTAATGGTCTAATCCCGTTGGAGATTCATTACCAACGACATGACACTTCTCTCATGCCTAAAACAAGTCTTGGTTTGATGCTTCTTTTCATTAGAGGACTTAAAACTCACATTTGGACTTAATTTACTAAGGAATGGTTGGTAATTAAAATGGAGTAATAAAATTAGGGGCTAAAAAATGATATAAGATACTTGATTAGGGTTCAATTGAACGTTAATTGAACCCTTGAGTCTTGAATTGTTTCATACTTGTTAGTGATATAAACGGTTCAAGAGTCATTGTCAACCACTTCCATGATCAATCCATGATAGGGAGAGGGTTTGAGAGTCTTATTTGTTGCATTTATTGAACTCGCACCTTTTGGTTCATAGGCTATCATGCAATGAAATTGCATCGGTTGATGGTTTGTAAATCAATTTTGCTACTTCTTTGAGCAGTTTGATGATAAGAAGGGGTAAGTTGTGCAAACAACCCTTGAGAATACCCTGTGCTTGCTCTGTTTACCCTCTGTTGCAGCAAGAAAAACCAGGCATCAGTGGCCGGCAGGCCACTTTTTATGGCTGGCAGGCCATCATTTGTGGCCAGCAGGCCACCACTTCTAGCCTGCAGGCCACCTTTGAAAAACCAGGCAGTGGACTTTTGAAACAAAATAGAGTTGGTTTTGAGGTGAAAAACAGTGCAAGTGTTCTACTGTGCAATAGAGACATCTAGCAACAGAATAGTGGCCTTTTTTTGGTGGAAATCCGCGCATGCATGAACATTCCTTGTTTACCGAAGCAGAGTAGTTAGAGTAGTTAGCTTAATACTTCTCTAAACTTTGTATTCTTGTATACTTCTCTAAACTTTGTATTCATGTTTAATAAGTTAATTTGTAATTCATTATTTAGTTCTAATTTGTTGTAATAATTAATTAGTTAAGTAACTTAGCTAAATTATTTCATTCATTTTGTATTAGCTAGTTAGTTCATTCGGACTCTCCTTGGTGAGGGCGCAAATGTTGTAATAATGTGTATGTTTTCCAACCCCACGTCTTTCTCCTTTTTATTTACCTGCTTACGATGGTTAAATTAGAGCATCATGTTTTGTTTAGTATACTCCATGTTCACATCCACTTGTCTTGCATGCATTGGGCTCGGCGCATCATTCTAACTTGCATTGTTAGTTAAACACTTCTTTGAATACGTGTTTAGACCGCATGCTATCAAATTGTTTAATATGTCATATTAGTAATCAAGCCTAGTAATTGCATGTCGCATGCGTTGTATTAGTCATATTGCATAGTTAGGATCATGCATTTTTTCTAACTTTGTCATCTTTTTGGTTTGAAGTACTAGGTGAGCTTTTACTTGCTTTAGCATATTGCATAAGTGTGATTGTTGCCATGTCTAGTATGCTTGCCATGGGGCTAAGTGCTTAATTGATAAAGCTGTTTGAGTGCCATAGATGAAGGCTAATTGCTTGAATTGGAATAATTTGAGTAATGTTCATATGCGATCACTTTTTCAAGTGGTACATATTCAAAACAATTTTCAAAACAACATAAATCGAAATATTTCAATTCTTGCAAAATTAGTGTATACTTGTGTGTATGCGCATCACATAGTAATACTAGCCTAATAAACCGGAACAAGAGCATCTAATGTAAATAAGATTCACATCATGATTAGTAGAGGCCGGTCTTTGATCGGGCAAGCGGGGATGCTCAATTCATGACCTTCCCCTCTCGTACCTAAATTCCCGAGCCGAGACAATCTTGGTGATGACGGACACGTGGCTTTTGGCACGAGTTATGGGTTTCTTAAATTTCTCAAAAATATTTAGCTGACGACTCTGTATCTGGCAAAGCAGTCCATTTTTTGCCTTTTTGATTCAAAATTAATTTTTCAAAAGATTTGCCGGATTTAGATTCTTTGGTGTTTATCTATTTCACATTGCACTTGTGGAATCAGATTCAGAACCGCGAGAGTCCGATACTATAGGGCTTATTCGTCTTCCAAAAGGGGGCACGAAAAGTCGAGCTACAATTATAGGTAATAATTTATACTTAATGATAATTATAAGAAATAAAATATAAAAAAAAATGAGTAAAAATTAATATTAAGTATAATATTTTAGTATTGAAAAAATCAAATCATATATATTATATATATATATATATAAATATATTTAATAAATACAATCGATATGGGGTTCGGGTAGAACGAGACGAGAGTAGCAAAATCCATCCCTGTTTCATTTCTTAATCGAGGCAGGGGATGCGAGTGCGGGGCGAAGCAGAGCAGGGAAAAATGATCATCCTTAGTAGCAAAGCAGAAAGACATTGCTAACTATTTCTAATGGGCCCTCTAAAATGCGTCGGATTTGGAATTTGGCAAAATCAGAATATGATCCGATTAAGTTATAGTCTGAATCAGAGCATCCAAATCCAAATCCAATAATTTCGGATATCCAATCCGGTATATCTGTGACGACCCATCACGTATAATAATTAACATTTAATTAATTAAGGAGATTTGAATTTGAATTATTCATTATTCTAATTTAATTTGGGATTTATGAGAATCATTGAGTTTGATTCATAAATGGTTTTATTAAGGATTTATTTTAGAATTTGAAATTAAAAGCCTAAATGGCTCAAGAGATTATAATTGGTGAATTGAATTATCTTAATTTCGAGTATCAGACCATATGATAGTTTAATTAAATATTCGATTCAATTTAATAAAATTGAAATTTTATTAAGTGGGTCTGAATTGGAGTTGATTAAGTTGTGAGAATTGAGAATTAAGATTATTCTGAATTAAATTTATTTATGAGATGTTCAATTGAGTATGTAATTTATTGACAGAGATTCGGAGTTTGATCTAAAATTGAAGGCTTTAAAAGTTTGGAAAAAAACAAAATTGATGAAGGTAATAAGTTTAATTTGATATTTGAAGTCTTTTGGGAGTTTGATTAAAAATATGATTTAGAATGGTAAATTTAAATATAATTAATTGGACCTTAATAGAAGTCAAATTAGATAAATTAAATTATATAGGATTTATGATTAGTTATGATTAATTTAATTATGTATTAATTAAGATTATGGAGTGGTTAAGAAAGTTAATATGTAATTAGTAGACTAACCTAATCTTATTCAAATTAATTAGGATCTTAGTGAGAGTTCTAGAGAATTTGAGAATGTTGTCAAGCCTTCAAGTTTTATGTATGTACATGAGGAGAGAGAGAGAGAACTCAATTTATTTGTTGGCTGGAGCATTAAGAACTCTAAAGAGAGGGAGAGAGGAAACCGTATGGAAGAGAGAGAAGCAGAGAGGGAATTCAAGAGAA